ACAAGGTATTCTGCTGTTTCACATTATTTTTTTTTTTAAGTACAGTGATGATACAGCTACCAATTTATATATGTTAGGGAGTAGATATCTATCTATTAAGTATATTTTTAATTAAATACTTTAAATCTTCATCTGTATTGGCTTAAAGCTTTAAATTGTACATTTTAACATTATTTGAAAAATAATACATTACTACAAAATTAATGGTCTGTGTTATTGTGGACACATTTAATTTCAGGTTAAATTTTTATTCAAGAAAACTTCACATTGCTATATTGTGATCTCTGTATACTTAACTGTAAATCTCAACAGTTTTTTGGGTTGTTTGTTTATGCTTTTATTGATTTCAGAGAATAAGGGAAAGATAGAAACTTCAATGATGAGAGAGAGAATCATTGATTGGCTGTCTCCTGCACACCCCTACTGGGGATTAAGCCAGAAACCTGGGCATATGCCCTGACCCAGAATCTAACTGTGACCTCCTGGTTCATGGGTCGATGCTCAGTCACTGAGCCACACAGGCCAGGCTCAGTAGTGTTTTGATACAGAGGTTTTCAAATGACAATTCACCTGCAATAATGAAAGATTCTCTATATTTTACTCAGTGAAGCTCAGGCCAATTATTTCTTGTTTATTTGCACCAACCAGTGAAAGAAACCACTAGCTGTCCCCTTTCTTATGCTTTTTATCCAGACAAAAAGGCTAACATCTTTCCATGTCTTTTTTTTTTAGAGTGAAATTTTCAAGTCTCCAACCTCCCTTTGTATCTGTATTGTCAAGATCTTTTTATCTCTTGCATTGTTCTCTACCAAATGCTCAGCAATTTGTCTCTTTTCTGAAATGTGGTGTCTGCTGAACTTAGTCCCCAATTCACAGCCTAACAAGACCTGAATGTAGCTCAATATGTTTTTATGCATGACATCACTATTACAATTCAAAGTACTATGGCATTTGAATATTTTAACAGGAATCAGAACATTTACTCATTCAATTCATCACCCACTGTAATTCTTGAATTTTTTTTTCTCTCTGCTGCTACCATTTCTAGATTTTTATTGCACTTTTTGGTTCCGTTGTCTTGCTCTGCATCAGCTTTCACATCAATTTCATTTTTCTGAACCCAATGTCACTGATGTAACCTATCTCCCCAGCATATAAGATTAGGCTATATAGCAGCACAACACCCCAAATATTTGTAATCCCTGCTACTTCCATGCCTCGCTTTCTTTTAGATTTATTAACATAAATCCAGAGCATCTCCCAAAATATTTTATAAGTATACTATTTCAGTACCTTGGAGGTTTTTTAAAGATTATTTTTTTTTGCCGAAACTGGTTTGGCTCAGTGGATAGAGCGTCGGCTTGCAGACTGAAAGGTCCCAGGTTCGATTCCGGTCAAGGGCATGTACCTGGGTTGCGGGCACATTCCCAGTGGAAGATGTGCAGGAGGCAGCTGATCGATGTTCCTCTCTCATCGATGTTTCTAACTCTCTATCTCTCTCCCTTCCTCTCTGTAAAAAATCAATAAAATATATTTTTTAAAAAAAGATTATTTTTAAGGTTCCACTTAAATGAAAACAAGCAAACAAACAAAATTGACTGGTCTGTTGTTCCAGGCTCATTTAAGAAGAAAACTTGCAGTTCCCTTTATTGACTCAGTATAAGAAAGTTAAACTTAGAAAAAGGAAAAAAAGTTAAAACTCAGCACCAACTACAGGACTGCACTATTGTTTTATTATTAAGGTGTCATCCCCAAAATACAAATTAAACCTCTGATCTTCACACATAGTTAGCTCAGTATCACGTACCCTCGCACAGGAGGTCACTTGTATGTGCTGGGGCATGTCATGGTTGGTTGAGCAAATTTTAGTCAACACAGAGCTAGTTTCACTTAGCATGTTTACTTGCCCTGTTACAAAAGAACACAAAGCAGGAAAGTATAAAAATGATGATGAAAATAACAAAAGCACCTTAAAGTATTAGGCCTAATTTTAATTGTTTTATCATGAAGAAATGGCAGAGTTATCAAAACCAAAATGAGCTGACACTTTCTTCATGAGCTTTCATTGATAAGGCATTATGGGAATGATGGGGTCTTCCAACTTGAAAGTCATAAAATGACAACAATCAAAGGAAACATCAATCTGCGTGCCTGCCTTCTTCTGGGAATGCCCATCTCTGCACTCTACATACTCATCAGACACACCTACCCATACCTTCAGTCTGACCTTGTCCATGTAACAGTCCTACCCATCCTTCAAGAGGCAGATTTACTCCTCCAAGGTCGCCATCCCTCCCTTCCTTGTGTTTTAACCCTGTTCTTGCTTCAAAGTATTGCTATTTGAGCTCTGCTTCTTCTCTGCTTTCCAGCTACCAGCTGGTATTGAGAATCACTCAATAAAATTGTGTTAGGTGTATTATTTAAAAAATAGCATTTTCCCAAAGTTATATTTTTAAGTGTAGGAAGAGATATTGGGCTTGAACACTCTAGAGAAATTATGGTAATGCAATGGTACGAGTCCAATTTTAATAAATGGTAAGAATATCCTATCTAATAATAGACAAACATGGTAATTGACTGTACCTTCGCTACGCCACCCATTGGCTAATCAGCACAATATGCAAATTGACCCAACCAAGATGACGGCCTGGCAGACACGCAGATGAAGCAAGCAGGAGGCTTGCTTGCTCCAGTGATGGAGGAAGCCAAGGTTCCCAGGTGCCTAGGCCCAACTCTGAGCTCCAAAAGCAACAAAGTTTCAATTATAGAAGCTAAACAAACTCCAGATACCTGCTTTCAGCAGGCCGTGACCTCAGAGCTGGAGTGAGTAGGAGCTGGCTCTCAGTTCCAGTGACAGCAACAAAGTTTCAATTATAGAAGCTAAACAAACCCCAGATACCTGCTTTCAGCAGGCTGTGGCCTCAGAGCTGGAGTGAGTAGGAGCCAGCTCTCAGCCCCAGTGACGGCAACAAAGTTTCAATTATAGAAGGTAAATAAATCCCAGAATTAAAAAAAAAAAAAGAAAAAAGGAGAGGCTGGGAGCTTCAGTTGCTGGCCAGCCTGAAAATGGCCCTCAGCCCCTCATCCAGGCTGGCCGGGTACCCCAATGGGGACCCCCACCCTGAAGAGGGTGTGACCAGCTGAAAACAGCCATAAGCACCTCACCCAGGCTGGCCAGACACCCAAGTGGGATACCCACCCGGATCCGGGATACCCTTCAGGGCAAACCAGCCAGCCGCCACCCATGCACCAGGCCTCTATCCTATATAGTAAAAGGGTAATATGCAAACTGACCCTAACAGCAGAAAGACTGGGAATGACTGGTCACTATGACACACACTGACCACCAGGGGGCAGACGCTCCATGCAGGAGCTGCCCTCTGGTGGTCAGTGCGCTCCCACATGGGGGAGCTCTGCTGAGCCACAGACTAGGCTGATGGCTGCCAGTACAGCGGTGGTGGTGGGAGCCTCTCTTGCAAAAAAAAAATAAACAAACAAAAAATAATCAAACAAAAAACAGGGGAAGAGAAACCACAATTTTTAAATAATGCATTTCACCTTTTTTTTCATATGCACACATGATTATGTATCTTAATAAAATTTTGTATGATTTCACTTTGAATAAATACTTATGTTTTCATAGTTTACGTCAAATGTGGTAGAATTAAAGGAGGTGGTAAAAATAGGAATAAAGTTGTTATAATATTTTAAGTCTGAATAATAGTTTTCAGAAGACTTAGCAAAAAAGATAATCATTAGTAAAGTTGAACGATGAAGATGCTTTAGTTCTAGGGAAGACTAATGACAGATTTAATCACTGTCTTCAAGTATTTGATGGATCGATTGGGAGATAATAATGATAAAATATTTTCCTTCTTGGCTCAGTATAAGACCAGAAATGATTAACTTAAAGGGCAAACAGGAAAATGCTAGAGAAGGTGAGATATTATGACAAATTACTAAGTAATTCAGTAAAAGGTTTCCCTCAGAGTTTTAAAGCAGGATAACTACCTTTTGACCTGGAGTCAGATATGACAAATAAATCTAAATGAGTCTCAACAAGGCCAATATCAATTTGTTTCATAAGTACATTATATTCTCTGTGGTTCTCTATGTTCAACTAGAGCAAATCCATTGCCCATGGGGTCACCCCAGCCACTCAGATCAGGGGCCAGTTTATTGTGGCATGTAGAATAGAATCATCTGAACAAATTATCCCCTAGTTCCTCAGCCTTCTGATCAGACTCACCCTAATGCAGTGGCCAAAGGCTGGAGAGGACTGATTATAAATTACGCAAAATGCAAAAAGCAATAAAAAATATGATCTTTGGAAATATAAAGCCACCTAAGAATGTTTAAAAAACTGCAATAAGAAGATCACTGACCTCTATTTTTTATGTTGAATATTCTTTGCATTAACATTAATGAGTGACATTTAGTGTAATATTCTTATTGAAAGTAATTATATTAAATAATTTTAACCTCCAAAATGTATTAAAATACTGACTGTGAAATTCCAAGATAAGATATAAGTTTAAGGTCTTTGCCAAGGGTCACTGAAAGAGTAAAGATCTTTTTTATAACCTTTTTGTGTTTAGTTTTTAATATTAACACTATGCCCTCTTATGTCATATGCTTGCAGTTGTTTAATGAATAAATACCACAACCTTTATAAACAACCTTAAAGTTTGGCCTACATTTAATCATTTTGTTCTCATGAGATAGCTACGCCATCAAAATTCAAAATAAATTGACACCTATAGATGATGAATAAGGGTCTGATTTTCTAGAGTTATTTCAAAACTCAATCAAACCTTGCAAAGATAAATGCATTGTGGGTTTCATGATGTTGCCTAGTAAGCTGTGGACCTGAACACAAGTTTTGCAGTGTCTTTTTTTCTTGTCCTGATTTTCTCCAGGAGATAAAGCGGAATGCATCCACTGAGAATCTGAAAGCATTATTAGGTCATATGGAAATTTCAGGACTTGGTTGCATTTACCTATTCCTGTTGCTGGAAATCCAATCTGAAATAAGTGTCGATGCCTGTTGGTGACAGTGCTTGTTGCCAAAGCTGCAGGCCAGCATTATAACTTCCCGACGGAGTTCTCTTATGTATCATCAAAGGAAAAAAAATGAAAGCAGTGTTAATATCTAGGGAGAAAGGGTAAGTCGTTACATTACACTACAGTAAATAAGTGAATAATTAGCAGAAAAATAGTTTTCAGATATGGAAATCCTGATTTCCTGAGTGAGACAGGAAAGAGTAGAAGTTAATCATATTAAAAATCTGCTCTGGAAACAGTTCTACTCTGAGGGGCATGGATTCAGAACTCAACCTCACCAAAAAAAAAAAAAAAAAGCAGATCTTAAATTAAAACATAGCAAGAAAAGGCCTATGATCTCAGTACCAGGAGGTGGTAACTATATTCCCCACCAGCAGTCTTCCCAGGAAAGGGAAATAAAAAATGCAAAATGAGAGCAAGATCTTTTCAAGCTGCTAAAGTGACAATGGTACTAGTAGTATGTTATTGTACACTTCAGTCAGGGGAAAAGAAGCAAGTAATAAAATAAAACAGTACTCATGTTGGTAGGACGCTTGAACAAGAGATCCATTAAAACTGTTTTTTGGCCATCCAAGCTTGATGTATGTTGTTGCAACTTGCTTTAAAATATATTCCTAAACAGGGATAGGGGAAATAAAGGTAATGTCAGTTTCAAACCTCTCCATAATGACAACTAAAATATATACTGAAATTAAAATATTTTCTAAATACTTTGAAATATATGTAAAATTTAGGCATGGTAATAATCTATTATAATTTTATTCAACTTAGTATTTCAAATATGGATAATAAGAATAAAATGCAATTGCTATGATAGAAGTCCACTATTTACTTCTTATTGAATGATTTGCACTATTATTTTTATGTCAATTTTTATAGTAAAACAAAGAAATAGAAATAATGATAGTCATGCATACTTATATACAAATGTATGTGGATATAGTTTATTAAAAAGAGTACCTAATATTTATGCATTTTACATTAATAGAGCATATTTAATGTAAGCTTATATGTAGACCCAGCCAATAGCCTACCATTGTTGAATCTGACATGCACAGAACAATCTTTAGTAAAATGACATGGTATTTCAAAGTCAATAACTCATTCAGCTCATAATATATTTAAATATTAATAGCAATGTAAGGTATGCTCTCCTAACTTTAATGTAGTCCTGAATTTCATCAAAGGAATGAAAGCACTAAAATTACAGTAAAAGCAGTTCTTAACTTTTACTGAAATTGAGGTGTCTGATGTGGTATACAAAAGTACAAATATATAGTAAAATGTATTTTACTTTTACAAAAGTTTAATATTGTAGTGTTTCTGTGTTGAGAAAAGGGAAGTTTAATAAGTCTTTCTCCAGCACAGAAAAATTATGCCATAACTGTAGTGACACATTTCTTTGTATGACTGTTTTAAGGGTTTGGACAAAACTAACAGTCAAGCCAAAATTATTCCCATCCTATATAATAAAAGGCTAATACGCAAATTGACCAACTGGTGGAATGACCAGTTGCTATGACATGCACTGACCACCAAGGGGCAGATGCTCAACACAGGAGCTGCCCCCTGGTGGTCAGTGTGCTCCCACAGGGGGAGCGCTGCTCAGCCAGAAGCAGGGCTCACGGCTAGTGAGTGCAGGGTGGTTTCGGGAGCCTCTCCCACTTCTGTGGCAATGCTAAGGACCTAAGCCGTCAGTCAAACATCTCCTGAGGGCTCCTGGACTGAGAGAGGGTGCAGGCCTGGCTGAGTTCCCCCCACCCCCCCACCAGCCAAGTGCACGAATTCTGTGCATCAGGCCTCTAGTTTAAAAATAATTTAAAACAGGTGTTTTTATGTAGGTTTAGGATAAGATAAAAAGAAACAATTCTGATAGACATCAGATAATTTAGATGGTTCTAATAAATAGATTTTTATAGTTATGGTCATCGTAATTCCAAATGTGTAGGTTAATTAACAGAAATAGAATAAGAAATAGAATAATTTTGTAAAACATAAGGAAGACTCTTAAAATAACTAAATGCAAATAATAGTGCTCAAAGGTGATAAAAAGCACAGAGGTATATTCTCATCTGCAAAAGTCTCACTGGTGATAAGACATTTAGGAATCAAAAGCTCATTAGCACTACTTAGTCTTATTCAAAATGATTATTACATTAGATTAGATGGTATCAGCAGTGCAATTTTGGTTTACCAGGCTTGCAACTTAGGAAATCTGGTCAGGTAACATTTTGAAATGTTTGTCATGTCTTCATGTCTATTTGGATTATCTGTTGTTTGCTTTCTTGTGTCCCCTTGGACCCAATTATGAATGGGTTTTGCCTCAATGTTGATCTTATCCTTGTTAATTAAGGAAGTGAATTGAATTCACTATGCCCTCTCGGATAAAAATAATGACTGAGAGCCTCTACTGAAACTGTCTATAGTCTGTTAAGATCTTTGCAATCCTTCTACCCAGGTTAAGTCCTTTGTGAACATAGAACCCTTTAACTCTTGGAAAGTAAGTTTGAACTTTAAGAATTTGCCATGTATATTTGTTCTTAAATTCTGAGGCATTTAAGCTTCATTGATACTTTTAGGCCAGAAAAAAAAGTAGCTTGTATTAAACTTCTTCAAGTAATTGTCATCATTGTTGCACAGAAAATCAGGGTAAAAATGATGACGTGAATTAGAAGGAATCAAAATAACTCAGGGTCAGCTGGCTAAAGTAGATAATGAGAAAATACTTTATCATCTGAAAATAGAAAGAAGAAAATATATCTTCTTACATTGAAGACATTGTATTTCTCCATGCGGTCCAGTAATTTATCTAGAGGATAAAGAGCGCGGCTGGCCGCGTGCCAAGGAAGAAAATCCTTCTCCTCAGACAGGTATCGGATAACCTCCAGGGGAATACTCTGAGGCAAATAGCCAGCTCTGCATAGCCAGAAAACATCAATGTTAATTATATGCAAAAAAGGTACATGATGATGCAAAAATGAAGATTTTACTTATGCAAATAAAAGGCAGAACGCAAGATTCACCATGGCATAAAGAAGACATACTCACTGTTTTAAAACAAAATTACTCACTTTTTACATAAATATAGTTCTACTTAGGATACCAATGCCCCTAAATATGTACAGAGTGGGACAGTTAAAGATTTATGTGAACATATAAACACCAACATGCATGGTTTTAGAAAGGAAGAATTGTGAAATTTGAATAAAATCAACTCTAGGTATATTTCTTTAGAGAAACTCTTCGGAGGTCACAAGTCATTGAAAATAATTGATTGGGGAAATAAAATTTCCATTCCTCTGGCGTTCTCTTTACGATTCATGTAGCTGTGTGTAATATTTAATATAGATTGCGTTCAAAATGATCATCAAAATTAAAGTAGCAGCTTGGGGTTCTGACTATATCTGTGTTACTTTACCATATAAGCATTTTTCAAACCTGCCAGTCATTTTTTAAAAAATGCTTTCCACAGCACCTATGAAAAGCAGTTAGATTTTAATAGGCTCCAAATTACAAAACTATTAAGAAAATAGACTCATCATTTATTATTTTTCTTTCAAAATAAATGTCATGTCATCTTGTGAACTAATGTTAGATACCTTGGAAAATATGAAACTGAAGCTTTTTTAAATTATCTGAACACTTGTTGCCTGCTTTTAAAGAGAGTTTATCCAAAAAAGGAGCCAAAAGCAGCATATATCTCTACTCCCTAGTAGAGTACATATAAAATCCTTGCAAATCAAAGCAATATAAGTGACAATCCACAGTGCATTAAAAGATGGCCTTATCCTTGATGTCCCTGATGCATGAATATAGTGACACTGTATATTTTGCTGGTTTTTTTTTACATTAATAATCAACTGAATGCAGACTTTTAGCACAGGCAACAGGTAAAGATGAAAGTAACCAATACCTTTACCTACCTTTCACACTATTGTCTTTTGTAGCATCACAAGATTAGATGGACCTTTTTATGTGCATTTGGTAGAAGGTGGCCAGGGAAGGAGCAAAGCCTTTGCTTATCTCCACTTAAGATAAATTTGCCAGATTATGTAATCCTTACTCAATATGAAAAGCAAAAATTACTCCCCAGATGAATATTAACATGGAGCACTATTTAGAATGTTTCTAATAAAAACCCGTTCTCAAGATTGTGCTTCAGTTTTCTTTGAATTAAAAAAAAAAAGTGTGTCCCTCATGATTTGGGTTCGCTCATGGTATACTAGTAATATCAACCCCGGTTAATGTCTGATGTCAATAAGAATGGTGAGAATAACTCCAAAATTCCACATCATTTCAAAATTTTCTCGAGTTTGTATGATTTGGAGTATATCTAGACTGGTGCCACTTTTCTTACACAGTTTCCATTTTATACATCTTCAATGAAATTAGGCTATGGCAACAGTGAAATAAGAAACTATCTTTTTTGCTAGTGTAGCATCTCAATAATACAGTTAAATTTTACTTTTAAGGGGTTCTCATCCACTGAAAAAGCAATACAATTGTTTAATAAAAAAATAATTATTTGGTTATTTTCCTTAAAAGAAACATAGGTTTTAATATTTCAGATTTTGTAGTTTGTTTCCCCTTAACTTTTCATTCTAAATATTAAATAGCATAGCAATCAGAAATTTGCCTCCTCTCAAATTTTATAATCCACATGCCATGGATAATATAATTTTAGAAATGAAGATTTACCTAGAAGTCATTATTCTTTTTTTAAAATAAGTCAGAAAATTACTTTATTAAGAAAGAAAATTTAGTTAAGTAACTAATTATTACGCATCTTCAAATAAATTTTAAAAAATCTGGAATGTTGCCTGGGTCTATTTTTCTCAGGATTTAAACATACTAGGTGACATCAGTTACAATTTGTTGTGTTTGACTTCATTTCTATAAATGGATGGACATTATTCAATGATGTATGATTTGTGAGCAATATGTCTACAAATAGAAACCATGAAAACAAATGTTACCGAAGGAGACTCTCCTTGAGAAAGAGCCTGAAACAACTAACACTTCCTGCACAATTAAGCAAATAAATTCATCTCTTCAAGCTTCACATTCCTCATCTGCGAAATAAGAGGGTTGAACTGAGAGGCATTTTGTTTTAGCTCCAAAAACCTTTTATTCAAATCTACTTATCTAAAATTTAACCTGCTGAGAAATAATTACATTAACATGGGCATAATTTATTTGTTTAAAATATTGAAAAAATATTTTGTAATTTTTATATTTTTCATTCTTTAATTGTTTAATATGTACAAGTCTAAGAGGGCATGGATCTAGTTTGTATAAGACACTGACATGGTATAAAAGTAAAGAAAGCTTGATAGGAATTCCAAATAATGGCAAGGCATTAGATAGAGATTGGGAGCAAGTTCTGTTTTGATTTCTTATGGCAAAAACTGCTAACTGCTCACCAAAATCCATGCTCTCCTTTGCTTCCTAGGATAGAGCATAATCCCCATTCCCTAGGTTGTTAAATGTGGTCATGTGACCTTAGCCCAGGGGTCCTCAAACTTTTTGAACAGGGGGCCAGTTCACTGTCCCTCAGACCGTTGGAGGGCCAGACTATAGTTTTAAAAAAAAACTATGAACAAATTCCTGTGCACACTGCACATATCTTATTTTGCAGTAAAAAAACAAAACGGCAACAAATACAATATTTGTATTTGCATGTGGCCCACGAGCTGTAGTTTGAGGACCCCTGCCTTAGCCAATAGAATATGAAGGTTCTTCGCTGCCAGGATTAGTTCATAGGCATCTCTCATTCACTCCTCCATGTTCTTTTTCCATGAAATGAATCCTCCAGGTGGGCTTGAAAGTCTTACATTGAATATGCCACACACCCACCTAGGATAACTGCAGGCCCAAGTATCAGTTCTCACACCAAATTCCATTAGGTGACCAGGAAATACATTTCTATTGTGTTTGATCTTAATACAAGTCTGGGTCTATTTTTCACAGCAGTTAACCTTCTCTAATTCAGTCTTCAGAGAGAATAAGAAACAAATTACACTCAAATTGCCCTCATTTTGTGCTGTTACAAACATCTATAGGTAATTACCTACTACAATTATTCAATATATTTGCATTTAGCTTACTAGATCAAAATATGTAGCTACACTCAATTGGACAAGAGGATGACTAGGTTCATTACAAAATTAAGACTTTGATAATCTTGGTGAATAAGTTATTATATATGCATTTGTGTAATTGGCTAGTAATGATATCTGGGATTACTACTACTGATAATGCAATCAATACAGGGGAAGTGTGTGGAATCCAGTGAATGGAACACTACATTAGCTCAAAGTAATCAGCTCAATCGGAAATACACTTAGGGTCCTCACACTGAAATGTAGTTTCCCTAAATTTGCATCATCACAGGGAAATGGCACTAAAAAAAGGGAAGAAAAATAGCAAATTTAAAGAATATACCATGTATAACCAAATGTGTTTTATTAATATTTTAGGAAAAAGTTATAGATAATATCTATATTTTTTCCTGTTGGCATAAGAACTGATTTAGGAATCAAAGAAAAGACAATGGATAAGAGAGTTATGAGGATATTTAAATAAAAGATTGTCTATATGCAGTTATAGAGTTCCTCTTTCCATCCCTCCAAACACACACACATACCCTCCCTTCCTCCTTCTCCAATTTATAGGAGCTTGCAATGAAATATATCTCTAGGCATACAAGAGATTACTTTTTATAAGAAGGAAATTAAAACCAGACTATATTAACTGATGTTTCAGTGCACTGATATTAACTGATTTGTTTTCAGCTAAGATAAAAACTACTTTTTAAAACCTTCTGGATTCCTGTTAATGTTAACTCTTGAATCTACTGAGATGTATAGCTTGTTAAACAGCAACCTGTTTGGCTGTTTTCTTTAAAAGTAATTGGTTTCTGAGTGCTTGAAACTTGGGAAAAAATTAAAAGCATAATCTGCAGACTCTTCCAAACATCATACTCTAGCCTTCATTCATTGAATACTCATTTAAAACCAATAAACAGCCTACTACATATTTCCCAATATCTGCAGAAGACACCATAACTGTTGCTTAGGGCAGAGATTTTTCAAGCAATTGCTGAAATGCTTAATTAAAAAGTGTACTACTGTATTATTATTTTTTTGTTATTCATTGTTAAAAGACTTTTGTGTAATCTTTGTGGAAAGATACCTTGGTGGAGATTGGAAACTCCACTAGCCCTTTGAGTACCAGAGAATAAAAAGGGAAATACATAGGGGACATATCTTTGTCAACCAACTGTCCGTTTGCCAATTCCTAGAGAAAACAAAGATGTGATTCAAGCATTTGTGAACTGATGTCTGCAGGGATGAAGAGGAAGTTACTTATTTGTAGCCCCATAAAACTGGAATCATGAAAAGTTGCACATATACAGTTCTCACAGCCCTCCTCCTCCTTCTCTTTCTCTTCCAGGACGCCTTCTCCCAATACTGACATGGGTGTCTATTTTCTGGGCTCACATAACATGTTAAAAACATCTGTACTCATAATAATGTTCATTATAATAATTATAATTTACCACAATATAATCTTTCTCACTCCCTGGACTTTAAGGAAATAAAGCATGCTTTACCCATCTTTTCATTCACATAGCCTAATACAGAATCTAGTAATCAATAAATAGTTCTTGAACTAAATTAAATTATGGCAATAATGTAATAGTCCTTGAAAACAGGAGCACTTTACAAGTATACTGAAATGTAAACATAACCACTATTTTCTAAGGTTAAAAGACACCAGCAGAATGTAACAATTCTGTGAAAGTGATATTTGTAGTATTTTTGCAAATCTTGTTTATTAATGATACACATGATAAAAGATGAGCAGGCCATTGCTATCTAGCTGATAGTTTTGAATAAGCTAGGCTATACCAA